ATAGATAGATATGAATATATTTATGTATGTATGGTTATTTTTTTGTTTATTTGAGCATTATTTTGTTATTAAAGTGAAATCCTACTCATTAATTCTCCAATTTCTTATTCAGAGCTACATAAGAAGAGGTTGCTGTCATTAATTCAGAAGAAAACTATGACGTCTATATACATTGAACGACTGTGATAGTATTTTTCTGGAATCCTGATAGCTCATGGAATTGCTCAAATGAATAATTTTGTGAGCCTTTTAAGCAATTATTATAGATTAGACTTTCAGTCAGTGAAGATGGAGAATATTTCATGATATTAGTTTATTTTAATGAATCATATATTATCTTAACCATGTATGTTTTCCTTACTTTGCAAAGATTTGAAATGTGTGTTTTTAAGTTCCCATTAATTAGTTTATACGAAATTTAAGATATGCTTGACAATGCATGGTGAGAAAATTACATTGCAATTGGAATCTTAATAGAATTTGGATGGTATACTGCATATTCTCCTTTTAATGATGTTTTAATTATTTATTTAATTATTATTTTTCTTTTCTGTATTTTTCTTTCTTTCGTTCTTCTTTTTTTTTTTTCCAGCGAATAGAATTGTTAATTTATTTATACCAATCTACAAATTTGTTGATATTTATTATATATCAGGATGAATTTATATATTGTTTTAAGATTTTGTAAGGGAAAAGTAGGATTTTTCCTTTGGACTGTGAAACGTGGTGTTTCTCATTCACATGCTGATTTTTCTTTTTGGACTGTGAAACTCATGTTTCTCATTCATATTTTCATTATTTCTTAGCTCTTTAGTTTTATTATTTATTTAGCAGCAATGAATAAACAGACAACGAGAGTGTTTTTCTCTGCCTTACACATTCTGTTAGACCTACATCATGTCTGTTGCCAGCATTTCTCTTCAGAGTATCATTAAAAATAGACAGATCATGAAGCCTTATGTGCAAAAGACAGACCAAAGAGTAAGCAGCAACGATGGAGTTTTGTTTCAGTGACTGGTTTAAGAAGTCAGAAATATATAGAAAATGATAAATTCCCACAAACATGTTTATGAATAGTTTGCAGTTATGTAAGGTTTGTTCTCCACACTCCTTTTTTTCTATTGCATTTACACCCATACTTTTGAAAGCCTAGATTTATTTATATTTTTCTCAGATGAACCCTGCCCAGAATTTTTTTTTTTTTTTTTCCCCCAATTTTCAAATATATAACATCTAGATTTACAGGTGTAAGCATAAAAAACATATTTGATTGCTATATGAGTAGGGAAAAAAATTGTCTCTTTTTCAATAAGGTTTGTTATTTTGAATAAGAATTTAGCCATGAAAACATTAAATTTTCTATATAATAAAGGCAATGGAAACAGCACTCTTGGGTTGAATATATTTCAAATTAAACTTAACATCTTTGGCAATACATATTTTACAATAGGTACACATATACAGTTATATACAACTTAAAGCTCTACTGAATACGAGACAAACATCTGCCCCTGAAAGTAATAATTCAGAAATAATATAGGTTTTATAGGGTACTTCCAGATTTGTTTATACTTGTATTGGGAAGAAAAACCCTTTACAGTCACTGGGCAATCGATCATGCCATTAACTTGACTCAGAAAGCATATTTAGGACTAAAATGAGATATTTAGCAGTTCAGTTCAGAGCAGCCATATTGCTCGTCTGATGTGCAAGTATTTATCTTATCTGTTAAGTGAATATAATAACCAAAACAGACTCCTCAATATTGGGCCTGATACATTATGCATTCTACAAACCAATACCATAACAGACAATTCAATTTAATGTTAACCACGAAAAATGTAAGACTGCTAGATCCCTTGCATTAATACCATTTTTTAACATTGTCACAATTCATGATGGACATGAAAATTCAGTGTATTATAACGTCTTTTAGAAAACAAAAAGAAAACTTATTTACAAATATAAACATTCCAAAATGTGCCTGACAGTATACAACAAAGCTCACAGCTAAATAAAATACAAATGAATTCATATCTGTTTATCCTAACTGACGTGTAGAAATAAAATGTTACTGCAAGGCAACTGATATCGGGCATTAAATAAATCACTCAGACCTTTCATCACACATCATTAAAATTTCAAATGAGTTTGATTCAGTCAACTTCCATAACAAGAATATATAGTAGCAAAATTATGGCTGTTTCTGTAACTTCTCTACTTTTGACTATAAAAGAATTAACTTCAGTTTCCATTGTGACTAAAAGAAAGACTAAATATAAAAATAGTTCTCATAGTCATTGTAAGAGTGAGCCCGGCGTGTTCTTGCATGAGCATGTATGTCATCATCTTCCTCTTCATCATCAACAGGAGTCTCAACTAACTCCACACTCTGGCTCCAAGGCAGCTGAAAGTAAAGGTCAACATTAAAAGGATGACAGTGAAACTATAAAGTAGCATAGCTTTCAACGTGAAACAGGCATAAAATCGAGTTGAATAT